GGAGAAAACCCTTGAACTTATTTCTCCTACCTATTTGATTATTGTATTATTAGAGTCATGCAAATGGGTTGCTTGCTTATGAAACCGTAAGTCCCTGTGAAAACATTTATTTTGTCATTCCCGGGCTAGTAATGACTAGCCCCCCTGCTCCACAATCCAGACCTGTGATCAGATCTCAACAAGCAAAAATTGATCAACTGGTCAACCAAACTTTCCAAGGTCAGGGAATTCTAAATGAAATTCCTAGGTACATGAACAGAGATGTTTTTACAAATGCTGACCAGCCCACTTTAGCCTTTTATATTCTTCCCCCTATTTCACCCCATCTCCCCCATGGGCATCTCAAGTTTTATCAGATTTTCTATAGGCAACTTTTTCAGAGAAAGGACTTTCCAACCACACAAGCCAGCTAACACCCAAAACGCAAGTCACTACTCAGGCACCTGGAAAGAGAAAATAAAGCAAAGCTGCACAAGGAGAAAGGAAATCCTTATCGTGATATACTCTACCTCTACCATAAATTGTTCCAAGAAGGAATTTTCTTCAAATGGCTCCGTCTTCAACCGATCTGTAATAAGTAGGGATACAGAAAAGAAATATTAGTCTTAGGATGAGTTTCCTGCCTGTGAGAAGGAAAAGAAACAGAGCCCGAGATTTCTTGGGAGGGAGCATACACATGCAACCCCCAGAGTCCAGTGGGAGAAGGGATGAGAGTGTGTGACAAATAGGAGGAGGAGGAGAGGGTGATCAGCAGTACAGGACATGTTCTTCCTGCCACAAAAATGAAGGTAGAACTGAATTTTTATTCTGAAGCAGGAACTATGCTTCAGAAGGTCCCAAGTGTGTGTTGTCCTCCCACAGTTTTATACAGCTGTTGGCCCTTTTCCAAAGTCTTCCCTTGCCATTGCCTAGGGCATGGCTGGACTTGGTTATAGCTTCTATTGGTCACTTGGGTGCCAGCCGGGTCCTCAAGGCAGAGAGAAGTGTCACCCGGCATCAAGTCTCCAGTTATGGTCAGTACCCAGCATCTCCTCAGGGAAGCACACCTCTAATGCAGATGACTCTCCCCTTTTCTGAGGCCCTTTGACCATCTGTACCACTCCCCACCCAACACCCCAAAGAATGCCCTCTCACCTCGGCTCAGCATAGCCCCACTCTCCTGGTAGTCCTGGATCTCTAGATCTTTCATACGAAGCACGGTTGCTAGCTCCCTCACTTGGCACTGCAAGGCCAGGCTCATGCCCATGAGAGGACGAATCAAATGCTGGGAGACCTTTCATGGAAGAGATATCAATCAGCCAACAGACACAGAGTACTCCCCACTGTATTAGGAACTAGAAAAATACTGAAAAATAAATGTTTTCACAGGGACTTACGGTTTCATAAGCAAGCAACCCATTTGCATGACTCTAATAATACAATAATCAAATAGGTAGGAGAAATAAGTTCAAGGGTTTTCTCCGTAGCATGGATAAAAGGGTGGGAAGAGTAGAGGAGAACGCGTGGACAGGCAGCCCGGAGTGGTGATTTAAAGAGAAGGACGTGACAGAATTGATAAGAGAAAAGTGTTGCTTCAACTCTCCGCAGAGACTGAGAGACAAAAGCAGAAGATCCAAGTAGCCTTCAGGAAAGTAGGCGTGGCTAAAACAGAGTGTGCTAGCTGGAGCATAACAGAAGACAAAAATCAACAGAGAGTAGAGAGCCTGGGAATCAGTCTCAAATTAGACCCAGACACTGATTACGAGTCATTTCCGGGCTGATGATAGTCCAGAATGAGCCCAGAGTTTCAATCTGCTCCCAGGAAGGTAGCAGTTTGAGGTCATTGTGACAGAAGCCAGCCAGTCACCGAGAGGCCAGCCTAGGAAGGAATAAACCGATCCAGCACACCTTGCTCTTAATAAGGTAAGAAGGACGCAAGCATCGCCACGCTGCTGAGCAGCTAGGATGGTGTCCTCATATAATAACGTATAGCTATAGAGAATAATCACTTAATTCACCCACACAAGGTGTCCAGCAGCCGAAGAAAGCAAAAAGCCTTAGCCAAAGAAAATAACTAGAATCAATAATCTCCTTGTGACTAGTGGATGCTATCGGGGTTCCTTTCCCTTGCCCGAAGGAGATGAGCTCAAGGAGGCACTAAGAAGAAATGCCCTAGATCAGAGGTCAGCAACATTCTGCATGGGGCCAAGGAGTCAATATTTTCAGCTCTGTGGCCCATACAGGCCCTGTCAAAATACTCAACTCTGCTGCTATAGCATGAAAGCGCCCATAGACAACATATAATAAATGAGCGTGGTGGGTTTCCAATAGAACTTTAGAAAAATTGGCAGCAAGCCAGAGTTGGCCCGCTGGCCATAGTCTACCCAGCCCCATGCTTCTCTAAGGACAGATCAGAAGAGAAGAGATTGGGGGGAGGGGGGCGGGTGATGGTAAAGGTTAGAGCCCGCAGCTTCTGTACCACCACCAGGACCCGATATATGCAGGGTTACTGACGCAGAGTAGGCTGAAAATCAAATGTAGCTGTAAACACCCATCACTTCTTTCCATCATGAAGCACATCCCAAGCTGGTCCTGGTACCCAGTTCAGGTCCTTAGGATAAACTTAAGCCTCCAAGAAGTACTGCTCAAAATGCGGCCAAAGTTCTGCTTTGGGAAAATTTATCTGCTCCAGACCCAACCCTCTTTCCTAGGAATTGTTTGGTTAGGTTTGGTCCTGTTCGAGGGAGATCAGGAGGAAAAACAGGGAAATCCTCGGATGAAAGCAAGTCAGTGTTTGGAGGGGTGAGCTGAAAGTAATCGCAGTTGGTAACCAAGCAGCATCACCATCCCTCTGATGACAGCCCTCAAATACAGAAATTCCTAGAGGTGACAACCTCTCTCTGGGAATCCACCTACCAGCGATCTCTTTGAGTGGTGGTAAATCTAACCACAAGAAACATAATGAGCAAGTTTTTAATCAATGCCACGTCTAATTAAATATGGTAATGCCACGCCAGGCACCAGAAGTTATCTATCAGACTCCAATGTCTATATAGCAAAAAAAAATAATAATAATAATTTCATAGAATTGGGTTACACTACTCTAAATCATTGGGATATAACTCATTTCAAAGTTAGATGCACACTAACACACTAAGATCAGTTAATTAGGACAAGGCATGTGGATGAAGTAATGAGTTTCAAAGCAAATCCACAAACACTACAAGGAAAAAGCTTGAAGCACTTCAGGAGGTCAGGAAGACCCCCTCCCCTTCATTTAAAGACAACGATATATGAAGAGTTGCAGTTTCACAAGTCAATTCAACAAATACCTACTGTGTACCTAACACCTACTGTGACCCTGTGAGGCGTCTGCCCCCAAAGAGCTCACAACAGTTAAGGAGGTCAGGAAGTGTGATGGATATAGAGGCAGGAGTTTCCAATCTTTTCCAGAGGAAATCTATTTATAACATCCCCCAATGTCTACAGATTTCCCACTGAAATGTTGACAAGTCAGAGGAAGGAGAGCTGAATGGCAGTTACCAATCCCAAGACGAATTCTATCAGGTTTGGACATAGAGACAAGGGCAACCAGACTGGGAATTAGATCTAGATTCTAGCCCCGGCTATGAGAGCACGCAGATGTGAAAATGGCTTAATCCCAAGCACTCTCGTGGTCCTTATCTTTTTCAAGGAAAAATTAGGGAGTCGGAGTATTTGCTCTCAAAGGTTCACAATAATGCTGAAGTTAAGTAACACTATGTATGGTCTTGTCTTTAATTCCCAGGATTCCACAGTAAGGTTGGGACTGGTGCCTCCACTTTACAGATGATGACACCAAGCCTCATAAAAACTCAATAACTTATCCCAGGTAATACAAATAGTCAAAGTTGGAGAGCTAAGTTACAAATCAGTCCTGCCGGCTCCAAAGCCTGTGGCTCTTCCTGCCACAAAAAAACCTTTGGCTGTGACTCCTAGAAATTATAAAATGGCCAAATTTGAAAGTCAAAATTTGGAATATCAAGAATTACATTAGGAAAAGGAAGATAACAGCAATAACACCAAAGAATTACATCAGATCCTGGGAAGAACAGTGAGGAGGACGAAGGGATGAGGAAGCTGGCTGGAAGTGGAAATGGGCTAGAAAGCAGAGACCCGAGGCTTTAGCTATCCCATGCTATCCCGCACAGCCTTGAGAACTTAGCGTGAACCCTCCACATGCTGAACTCTCCTACTCTCCTGCATGACTGGTAGGAGTTTAGATGTGCAATCTCTCTGGAAGACAATCTGGCATCATGTGAGCAAGATTAAACATACAAATAGTCCTTTTT